GCCTGCAGCACCACCAGCCCCACCAGCTCTAGTACCTCCTGTACGAGCAACTCCAGGACCAGCGGCTCCAGCAGCTCCAGCACAAGCAGCACCTCCAGCAGCTCCAGCACCAGCAGCACCTCCAGCAGCTCCAGCACCAGCATTACCTCCAACAGCACCAGCACCAGCAGCACCTCCAGTAGCTCCAGCACCAGCAGCACCTCCAGCAGCCCCTGCACCAGCAGCACCTCCAGCAGCTCCAGCACCAGCAGCACCTCCAGCAGCACCAGCACCAGCAGCACGTCCAGTAGCTCCAGCACCAGCAGCACCTCCAGCAGCTCCGGTAGCACGGCGACAGCGCCGAGCGTACCACTCACGAAGCCGCTGCGGAGAGAGGGGCTCCCGCCGCAACGGGACACCCGGAGAACCTCCAGACTCAGCACGCGTAGGCTCAGCACCCCCAGACGCAGTACCCCCAGGCTCAGCACCCCCAGGCTCCACACGCTCAGGCACAGCACCCCTGGACTCCACACGCTCAGGCTCAGCACCCCCAGACTCCACACGCTCGGGCTCAGCACCCCCAGGCTCCACACGCTCAGGCTCAGCACCCCCAGACTCCACACGCTCAGGCTCAGCAACCCCACGCTCCGCACCCCCAGTCCCCGCACCCGCAGGCTCAGCACCCCTAGCAGCACCTGAGTCGACAGCTACCTCGACCGGCTCGGAGCTGCGTTCCGTGTCTGGGGATCTCGAGCTTTTGTCCGCGACACTACTGCGGACAAGCTGTCCTCCCGTGCCGTTCCCTGTGTCTTCCTTGGCTTCCCTCCTGACGCACCCGGGTGGCAGTTCTACCACCCCACCTCACGTCGTGTTCTGTCCTCTCAGGACGTCACGTTTGACGAGTCGGTGTCATACTACCGTCTCTTTCCCTACCGCACTACCTCTCCCCCTCCCCCGCCGCTCTTCCTTGCCCCAGGTACTCCCCCGGTAGACCCCCTCCCCCCCCAGGGTCCTGCCCCCTCAGGTGTGTCCCAGGTAGAGGGGGCAGGAGGTGCTGCTGCTGCTGGAGCTGCTGGAGGTGCTGGAGGTGCTGCTGGGACTGGAGACCCTGGGGCTGAGGGTACCGGTCCTGTTTCTGCTGTTTTCTGGAGGCCTCGTAAGGGGCCGCGACGAGGCCACGGAAGGGGCCGCGTAAGGGGCCGCGACGAGGCCACGGAAGGGGCCACGTAAGGGGCCGCGACGGGGCCGCGATGGGGGCCGCGTAAGGGGCCGCGTAAGGGGTAGGGCAGGCCTCGTAAGGGGCCGCAAAGGGCAGGGCAGGCCGCTAAGGGGCCGCGAAAGACTAGGGCAGGGCGCAAAGCGCTCTTCGGGCAGGAAAAAAAAAAATTAGGTGGGCCCATATGAAGGAACAGTTCCACTAGGGAACCCGCTCTATACCATGTGAGAGAATTGAGAATGAATGATTGAACTATGAACGAGATGGGTACAAGTAGAGAACACAAAAGTGTTGTATCCTCTAAGAACTACCCCACTACAGCCTAAACAGACTATAGCAGATATAAGTTTGACAGTCTGAGGTCCAATGGTGATCCCCGATTGATCCTAGTGAAGGGTTACAGGCTCGCTGTCTTGGGGGGTTATGGGCGCACTGACCCACTACTTAACAAGTCCTTTTATCCAAATGATCTAGTGGTTAGGATTCTGACACTACCTTGCTTCGCTTTCGACCTTTGTGAACCCAAACGTGTGCCGAACTTCAAATTCCGAGATTCCTGCCTGATTAGCGTGCCCCGCTAAAAATGTGTCGGATTTCATTTGTATAAAACATTTTGTAATCAAATTATTCGTATAGTTATATCGCTTTGTTTCGAGCACTCTTCTTTTTCAACTCATAACACTGCCTTACCAGTTGCATTCCTTATCAGTGACTAGTATTTAGTTAAAAAAAAAAAAACTGAGAAATTAGTGTCACTAAAAAATGAAGTCTGATTCTATAGGATATAGTAAAAAATTGCACCTAAACTTGCTGACGCTCATGATCGGCAAGCGCACCAGCTCATAAGAATGTGCATGCTAAGGGGAGCGGGAGCTACGGTGCGGAGTATGGGGCAGGCTACGGGGCGGGCTATGGGGTGGGCTAAGTTGCGGTATATGAGGCGGGTCACATCACGTGACAGGCTACGGTGCGAACTAAGGGGCGGGCTATGGGGCGGGCTACAGTAATGTAGTAAAAAAACCGCTGTTCTCATTACATCCAAAGCTGATGTAGTAAAAAAAGCTGAAAAATCAGCGTAGAAGTGAAAAATACTGAAAAGGCAACCTCCACTTAAAAAAAATGTATGAAATCTCAGCCTTTTTTTACCCAAATCAGCCCTTTTTTGCTGAAACCTGAGGCCCTGATGCCTCCGTCTTGTTTCAGGTCTTCCGCCTTCGTTTCGGTCGCTCCCTCCTTCGTTAGAGCCATCGTGCACTCCTTACATCGAGGGTAGGCTGCGCGCCACTCCTCACTCCTCCCTTTGACCAAACACCGCGCCCCTCCAGAATCTCCACTTGGACGTTTGGGGCCCCGCTCCTCGCCCTGTGCTAGGGGGGGAGAGCTCCCTCCTGGTGGTCGGCAATGACTTCACCCGCTGCACTACGGTGTTACCCCGGCGGCAGAAGTCCGACGTGAATTCTACCCTGATCCTGTGGTTGCTGGCCACTAGTGCCCAGCATAGTGGTTGTCTTCGTTGTCTCAACTCCGATTGTAGGGGTGAGTTTCGCTCCGGCGTGCTTGCCAGGTTCTATCCCGAGCAGGGCATCACTCAAAATGGAGTTGCTAAGTGCCGCATAGACTTGGTAATAGAGATTGCTCGTTCCTCCATGGTCCATGGAGTTCCTACGCGGTTCGCTACGCCGCACACGAGCTGATCCTCCGGCCGTATATCTTTGCTTGAAGGTTTCACTCACAAGTTTCTTGATTGTGTCCCCTGGTGTTGCCTTAGAATTTCGTGTATGGGGCTACCTTGTACTTGTCTGCGATAACTCTCTAGACAAGCTCTTGGCTCATAACCTCCCCTATGTCTTCCTCGGTCCTGGTGGATGCCACTAACTTCACGTTTTACCACCCTTCTCCTGTTGTCCCGTGCACTCGGACCACTTGTTTTCGCCCAAGTGCTTGTCCCTTGTCTCCTAACAGTGACCTCCGTGCTGTCTTGTTTTGTTCTAGTCCTCCTTGTTCTCTGCCTCAGTCTGTTCTCATGTTACCTCCGGCGTCGTCTCGTACTGTCTCCGCTCACCCTATCTCTGACTACAACTGTACTGCTCATCCTGTTGTCTCACGTGTTCTTGTCTCTCTTGTCACAGACACCCGTACCTCTCCATCGCCTGTCTCGGCTCTTTGCTGCCACCCGCCGCCTTTAATACACCACCCGTGTGGTGGCTGCTCCTCCTACCCGTCCTCCATCCGCCGGGGGTGAGTCTTCCCTTAGCTATGACGTCCTAGAGGACAGGCAGTTTGAGCTGCAGTTATTAGCAACCACTTCACCCCATTTCTGTGCCATGCTGCTAGCCCCTGAGGGAGACCTCACATTCCAGACGTCCCGACTTCTCGTACCTACATTGGGGCATTGTCACGATAGTGGGCCTCTCAGTGGATAGCATCAATGGACGCAAAGATAACATTTGGTGGTCAACAGGTGCGTACGTCGATGCAGTCCCCCCTCCCAGTTCGAACGTTGTCAATGACCTGGGGATCTTCAAGGTGCAGCGGCCACCTGGATCGCCACGTGGATCTCCGCCTGTCTTTAAGGCATGCTACGTTGCTCGAGGCTTCAGTCAGCGTGAGGGAGTAGACTTCTTCCAGACCTTCTCCCCCACCCCGAAGATGACTACTCTTTGGGTGTTACTATACGTTGCAGCACAGCGAGACTATGAGCTGTGACGTGAAGGTCTACTTGGTTATCGTCTGTGGCATCGTCCAGTGCTGAGGCCGAGGTCTACGCCAGTGCCATGGCTTCTCAGGAGCTTCGCTGGTTGACCTACTTGCTTACTAACCTAGGTGAGCGGCCTAGCTCTCCACCGACCTTGTTCGCTGGTAACAAGGCCATGATCCTCCTTGTCGAGAGCCTCGACTGGAGGGCAGAGTGAAGCACATCAACTTGCGGACTTTCTGTTGCGAGAGCCGCAGCGACGTGGCCAGGCACGCTTGGGCTTTGTGGCCTTAGCAGCCAACACTGCAGACATCTTCACCAAGGCCCTTTTGCCTGGTGACCACCACATGTTCTGTACGCAGCTTGGCCTTGTTCAGACCTCGTTTGTTCTAGGCTTGTCTCTTGCTACTTGCTCTGATTATGTTGCTATATCTGTGAACTCTTGAACTGGCCTTGTGGCCGTTTGTCTCGGAGGCTGGCTAGTCGTACCACCCTGAGTTGCTTGTTTTTCCTTGTTGCTTCTCTTGAGTGATCTTGTGACCGCTTGTCTCTCTTGCTCGTTTTAGTGCCCCTTACTTAGCCTATGGGGGTGTGTCAAATGTTATATTTATGCTCTATGCTGTAGTGGGGTACTCACTAGAGAGTACAACCCTTTTAGGATTGCCTATATGTATCCAAACCAATGCTAGTTCAGTCACTTCTCATTCAGTTGTTCGTTTCACAAATTGCTTACTCATGCATTTTTTAACATGAAGAGTGTGCTGAAGTCGAAATCGAAGATCTAATTACATCTACTGTCAATAGAATGAAGCCCTAGCTAGATATAACCAGGGACCTAGCTAGTCGGGGACCTCGGATGTCGAGGTTGGGTGCTGGTCTGGGGATGCCAAGCCCGAAGGTGACACGGGTCAGCATATGAAGGCAAGGTAATCGGAAGCCAGCTTTTCTAGAACGTTGGAGTTTTACGCATCGTAGCGTAAATACAGTAAACAATTAAAAAATATTTACACTACCTCCCCTTTGAAGAAATGTGGTCCACACCGGGCACACGTCGGCGTGAGAGGTAATCCCGGAATATGAAGTGTCCTACTAGCAAGTTTGGAGTGACCGATGTGTCATCCTCGGTGGTGTGGTCGAGCCACCGAAGAAGAAAGACGAGGTGTCATTCGGTCGTCAGCTGCAGTGGCTACTGCTGTAGTGGCAACACCACCCCCGCCACCCCCTCACCCTTTCCCCCCCCACCACAGTAGTGGCGGTAGAGAGAGAGAGGAGGTGGCTAATGGTGCAGCTGTGATGCCCTCCCCAACCACACCCTCGACCTCCCCCCACCCCCGCTCACCGCAGCAAGGGCAGCAAGGAGAGAAGGTAGAGAGTGAGAGGTGGAGGGGCGGCTGCTGACTGGTCACACCTACCGCCCTCACATCCCCCTACACCCCCCCCCCCCCCCCCCCCCCCCACCCCCACTATTCCACGAGCAGGACGGTTGCTGACTGGTCACACCCGCCGCCCCCTCATCCCCCTACACCCCCCCCCCCTCCCTCCCCACCCCCACCCCCATTGTTCCACGAGCAGCAGGGAGAGGGAGGACAGGTGGGCGGCATCGCAGCGGCGTGGCGCAACAGCGGAGGGGCGTCAGCAGGCAGGAGCGTCAGCCACCCCCGCTACCTCCTCCCACTGCGGAAGTCCCGGCGGAAGCTGACGCACAGGGCAGCTGGCACGCGGCAGCGGGATCGACGGGACAGCGCGCTATCTGCGAACGCGGCAGCTGCAGTAGCAGTAGCTACAAGGTCGACAGGAGGGCGGGCGGGGAGAAATTCTGACAGGGAAGAATGTCAAACTATAATTTCTATAGTTTGTTAGTTTAGTCTAGGTGTTACAATGAGCTATGCTGTAGAGGATACAACCCCCTTTTTTATGCGATGCTATCATTTGCATTCACGTCTGTCTGCCTCCCATCATATGTTCGTGCGTTGCATGCGTGGTGTGTACAAGAATTTGTATTTGGTGTAGTTTGGATTTTCTGAGTATGTGTGAATGTTATTTGGCTTGAGCAGATATCTGAAGTGACTCCTCTGCTCGAACATATGAAAGATATGATCGTTCGAGGTTTTGATTGAGATGCGGCGACTACGAGAATTCGCGGAGTGACTCAATATGGGGTATAGACTTTTGGGGGTTGGGAAATTCGTCACTACTACTGTAGATGTTGCCAAGTGGTTTGGGAGAAACCAAACTAGGTTGGCAAGTGTGGCCAAGTTGGGTGAGGTGGATGGCATGGGTTGGGAAAGTGAAAAATGTCAAAGTTGGGTGGTATGGGGTTTTCTTGGTTGAGGAATCCCTAGGAACCTTCCCTCTCGTCCTCCTCATCCCTTTCTACCTGGTTCTTGCTTCTCTAATTCTCTTGTGTGGATCTTGTGAGACCATTTGTGATTGAGTTAAGTTTCTATGGCAGCATACCCCCTAGTGCGCAAAATTTCATAACTCGAGTTATGCTCCATCGTTTGATACGATTCAAATTGGGATAGATAGCCACAGTGAAGGGGTACAATATACTCGAGTTTGGGAGAATTCTAACAGTGCGTTTTGTGTCGACGACGTTTCTTGTGAAGTCGACAATTCTGTCCAGAAATATAGTCCAACGATTTTGAGATATTTCGGCCCCCAATCTTCATAGACTCCGTCCTTAGTCTTTAACACCCTTTAGGGTTTGCTATATGTTCCGTTGTACTGCTTGTTTTCTACTCATTCATTCTTCCGTTCTCGCATTGACATGGTATCAGAGCTAGTGTCGTTCCTATGTGTTGAATGCATGTCATTCTGAGTGCATGTCATCCTATCGTCCTGCCGAAAGCTCGGGCCATTTTTGCTTCCATTATTCGCATGAGCATATATCATTATGCATGGCTGTTGGATTTTATAATCTATGTGTTTTTCTCCAAGTCTACATGCTTTATCATGCAGGAGAAATCCAGAGCTTTCCAACGATACCAAGATCGCCTTATTTCGACCAAGATCGCCCAAGTTACAAGATTTCCAAGATTTGGGAATTCTATCTCATTTTGAGATGTTATCTACATTTGGCGATCACTGGGATATGACTACGAAGGGATCTTTGGTTGGGTGGTTAGGAAGGTAAGTTTGACTAGAAGGTTCTAGCATGGGTTGCAAATGTTGCAACACTTAGGCAAAATCCAACTAGATTGGATTTTGCATGTGACACCCCAAGGACCTCATGATGAGGGCTGCATCCTTACTGCTAGCAAGGTTCTTACCATTCTTCCCTAGCTCTTGGAGAACCCCTTCCCTCTCATGGTTCTCTTAGAGTCCCCAACTCCAATTATTCTATGTCTTAATGCTTGTACTTCCTCCACCATTCTAGTCATGCAGCTGTTGGACGTTTTCAAGTCGTTTTCACTCTAGAAACCATCTTAACAACTGATTTAATTAGGAGATGGTAGCTAATGATATGGCGCATAATCCTACTGAGCGGATTAGCGTTTAGTTGAGAGTTGAATTCGTAGTAAGTTCTCAAAGTGACAAATCCTGAGCATCACTATGGACCCATCGCCGCCCGTCGCTCGTAGCTCGTAAGCGCCTCGTAGCCCGACACCCCAACGCGCATCGTAGGCCGACACGCCCCGTAGCGGCCCTTTGTTCGTCCCGTAGCGCAGCCCCCGCATGCCCCTTAGTACGTCCCGTAGGGCGGCCCCCTACGGGCCCTTACGTTCGTCCCGTCGTGCGGCCCCCTCGTTCGTCCCGTAGCACGCCCCCCCGCAGGCCTCCCGTTCATGGCCCCCACGGGCGGTCTCGTTTGTCCTATAGCACGGCCCCCGCGGGCGCTCTCATCGCAACCTAAGTCGCGCATCAACTATCGCCCGTAACCCTAGCGCCCGTCGCCCGTAGCCTTAGCGCACGCGCCAGTAACCCTAATTCGTCATGTCTCTGCCCGTCATGCCTATCGCCCGTCCCTCGCCCTAGCACATACCCGCGCGCTGCTGCAACCGCTCGTGCCGTCGCTAGCAGCAGCAGCAGCAGCAGCGTACACCGCACGCCAGCATGATCAATAGCGGCTGCAGTGCGCCACCCCATGCCACCGAGAGCAGCAGCAAAGCGACGCCAGCAGGGGTAGCTAGCACCAGCAGCAACAGCTAGCGCAAGCAACGGCAGCCAGCACCATCAACAGCAGCTAGTGCCTGCAGCAGCAGCCAGTGCCAGCAGCAGCCGCCCGTGCCTTCGCTACATTCTGCCCGACCGCTCCCCACCGCACTAGACCGCTCCCCACCGCACTAGACCGCTTCCCACTGCACTAGACCACTCCCCACCACATTATACCGCACCTGACCGCGCTAAACCGCATCCAACCGCAGCTAACCGCACTAAGCCGCATCCGAGCGCACCCGACCGCATGCGACCGCACCCGTCCGAACCCTACCGCACCTGACCACTCCTAGTCGCTCCCAACCGCACTAGACCGCACCCAATCGCACTTGACCACTTCTAGCCGCTTTCCATTGCACTAGACCGCACCAGACCGTACCCGACCGCGCTCGACTGCTCCTAGCCGCACTCGACCGCTCCTGACCACCTCTAGTTCCATCCATGGCGTCCGCTAGAGTTATGCAGCGGTAGCACTCCCGGCAGTGGGGACCTGATGGTTTGAGGAGCGTCGGCTCCAACAGCAGCCCAGCCAGCTGGGGGAATGGTCGCGTTGGTCGCGACGTCGGTCCCTGCGAGTACCGAATCCTGGCTGGCCCTGGTGCTGGCACTATCTGCTTGCGTCCTGACCACTCCGCATCTTTCTGCTACTGTCGCCTCGACGACCTCTACCGTGAGCGTTTTGGACCTGACTTTGACACTCCCGCACTGGCTCTCTCTGTCTCGTGGTGGTTACGATATTTATTTGATGTCCATGTCTGAAATTTATTGTGTGATGTATGCTGATTACTCTAGTACTGTCAAATCTGTTGATCTGCGTGTACCTAGTCTAGGACCGTTGCCGGTTGCTATTGCAGGGACGTGTGTTTCCAGTCTTGGTGCCTGTGCTCTTGAGGGTCCTTCTCATCAAAAGAATGAACGAGAATGAATGAACTATGAAACAGTTGGGTACAAGTACTAACCCTTATTGGGTTGTACCCCTTATGGGCTACCCCACTATAGCCTACACAAATGTAAAAGCTGTAATGTTCTGACACACCCCCATAGGCAAAGTGGGGGAGAACAAGTGGTCACAAGACCAGTCAAGAAAAGAAAAGCAAGCTCACGGTGGATCACAAAGTCACCACACAGTCCGAGAACAAGCAAAGGGCAACAAGGCCAGTTCACATGCAGAGTGATATCAAGAGAACAAACAATAAAGTTATCATATCCTAGCAAGTGCAAACATGCAGGTATTTGTATAGATCACAGTACAAGCAGAGTCAAGCAGTAAGCAAGTGAGGCAAAGTAGGCACAAGGCCTAACACAGTAGAGAAGCGCTGATGATCACCAAGCAGAAGTGCCTTGGTGAATATATCAGCAGTGTTGGCCCTAGTGGCCACATACGCAAGACGAAGCTGGCCACGCTGCTGCAACTCTCAAGCAAGGAAGTATCGCAGAGCGATGTGCTTCGTTCTGTTCTCCAGTCTGTGCTCCTGACACAAGGCAATCGTGGCCTTGTTTTCTACGTACAGAACTGGAGGTGAATGAGGTTGCTCTCCCAAGTCAGTCAGCAGGTAGGTGAGCCAGCGTAGCTCCTGTGCAGCCATGGCCCCGGCGTAGATCTCAGCCTCACAACTGGAGCTGAGAACAGAAGACGAGCGGGTAGACCGCCAGGAAACAGAGCCGGAACCGAGGCTGAAGGTGTTACCCTATGACGACCGCCGCGTAGCTGAGTCGTCAACCCAGGAGGCGTCTGCGTGACCGGTGAGGACAACTGGACCCCGTCCTCCAAGCACGAGCCCCATGCCTGACGTACTGCACAAGTAGCGCAGTACCCTCTTCGCAGCATCCCAGTGAACCTTTCGGTGCCTACTGGGAGCCATGTAGCGAGCCAGAAGGCTGAGAGGGTACGCGAGGTCAGGTCGTGTGCACGTCATCAGGTACATGAGGCAACCCACAAGCTCTGGGTACGGACCACTCGGCTCTACGGACTCGTCCGAAGGTGGAGCTGAGAGCGAGTGGCCGGTAGACAGAGGAGTGGGCTGTGGCGAGGAGAACTGGAAGCCGAAATGCTGAAGGACCTGGTGCACCATGTGTGACTGAGTCAAGGTGATGGTGCGCCGTGCTCTATCCCGAGTGATCTGCAGGCCAAGATAGCTGCGCAGTTCACGCAGGTCAGTGCAGGTGTGTCTCTTCTGCAGTTCTGACTTCACAAAGGTTAGTGCCTCAGTGTCAGCAGTGGCAAAGACGAGGTCGTCGACGTACGGGAGGACGTAGAACGGCGGCAGCGAGGTGTCGGTGCGTAGAAATAGCGACGGGTCAGCAGTAGAAGGAGCAAACTCAAGAGCCGCAAGTGTAGTCCTGAGTGTGTCGTGCCACTCGCGAGGCGCCTGGCGGAGACCGTAGACTGGCCGCCGGAGGCTCGCTGGGTATCTGCTGGAAACGACTCAGTGAAGCCAGGTGGGCGGCGCAGCCAGATCTCGTTGTGTAGGCTGCCCTGCAGGAAAGCTGTGCTGAAGTCCAGAGAGTGCAGCTCGTAGTCACGCTGAGCAGTGACGTGCA